TGATTAGTGTTCGATTTTGTAATTAAACAATATTTTTAGGTTTTGTCAATTTTTTTTGAAAAAGTAGTTGTCGTAATTTAATATAGTGAGTTTGATTATTTGAGGAGCTCAATTTTTATATTACATCGTGTTTTCAATTTATATGAATTTTAGTGTCATTCCACTTAGAATGATATCACTGAAGAAAAGATCTATGATCTATAATATAAAATAGGATAAGCTTCAATAAGTTTATCTGGCGGTCTCAAATAAATTCATCCAACAGTCACTAACGTCCCTCTCAAAATTATTCACATTTTGCGTTTGGTACGCATTAATGCCCTTAAATAGGAATGAAATGTATATAAGAATGGAATGAGCTTAGAAATGAAATGAAATGAGCTTAGAAATGAAATGAAATGAGTTAGGAATGGAATGTGTATTACCATTTCAATGTTTGACAATTAATTGGGATAGAGCGTTAGAATGGAATGTACATTTCATTCTGTGCGTGCAAGATCCTGCACAATATAAAAAATATTGGGAACAGATCTCTCCCCTGATGAAACTTTGAGTGAGCCGGTTGGGTGGCCAAACACGCTGCTTAAAACAGCCTGTAAGGTATGGTGGCAACCTGGAACGGCAAAGGAAGATCCTGGGAGAGGAAGAACTACCCTGTATCTGTGAAAGGTTTTCCTGGAATAAAGAGGAACAAGTTAGAAGGGTGCCGGAGCGTATTCCGGCGTATCCCCTCCGACGGTCTAGTCAGTCTTTGAATGAGAGAGAGGAAGAAGAAAACACTCAGAAAATCTGTATTGTAGTAGAGAGTTTGTGATTGCATACCCGCTTTGCCTTTTGGGAGGAGTATTTATACCTTAAAAGCTCATGATTGCTGTCAGTATGGTCAGTAGGTGATCATTAGGCACAGGTAGCGTGTGTATTGATTTGATGAGGAATGTCTTCTCTAATTGACTGCTCGGGGTCCCGAGCAATCAATGCTGAGTCGTCGGGACGCCGACGGTACAATATGCTCCTTTCGGGAAGGACGCAATAAATGCTCTGTAATAGGAGCATTTATTGCCTTTTATATCCGAACCTTACCGCATTGAATGTGGTCTCGTCAACAGAAGGGTGCAATTAATTGTTTGTTTTTCTCAAGCCATGTGTCAGTAACGGCGTGCAGTTTGTCTGTCTTTGATGTGACATCATTTGCCACGCGTCCATCCCTTACTAGCTGTGATTACTGTATTCCGGTATGTTCTGACATTACTTGTGTAAGACGAGGTCATGATGAATAGTCTAGACTGGCATAGGCTGATGACCCGTACATCAGTAGCTTTATCCGGGTGTAGGGGAAGCGTCCAGGACGGAGTGACTCTCGGCACCGAGGAAAGGCTCACCTCGGAGACTGAGGGTGGTATGTTTCCGAGGTACACGGGTGACCGAGGACACGTGTTGTCGTATAATACACCGAATGCGTGATCCCATGAGAGGTACCTCGGGGGGGAGGACACTCTTTGCCGATGGTGCTTAAATCCGAGCAACACTGTTCCAGAAAACCCGAGGACACGTGTCTTCATCATAGGGCTTTTCAGAAGAGTCTCATCACATTCCAATGTTTGAATAAAATAATTTATATTAAAATAGAATGAAATTTAACTAAAATAACTTTTTTATTATAGAATTTCTAACTTAATTAACACACTCTACTATGATGATACTTCCGTTAATTTTAAATTTTGACAAATATGATTAAACGTGCAGTAAATAATCACAAAGAATCAAATAATAAAAAAAATTCACCGAAAGAATAATAAAAATCAATAACATACAACAAATTGAAAAAGTAGAAAGATTTGTCTAATTCTTAATTCTTCCAACACATCAGGGCAAGCACCTCTATACCAGTAACTGATTCTTTTCAAACATTATACATAAATCTTCATAAAAAGATAAAGATTTGTCTCTGAAATTCTTTGCTCCCTTGTGGCTCTACAATAAAAATAGATACAACATTTAAACCCCTTTAATAGTAAACAACAGGACATGTGAGATCCTTGCAAACAGTAGCCAAACAAGCACATGGACATGGTCGCTGGAAAAGGAAATTCAATGCAATGCAAAACAACAAATAAGTTCTTAGTGGGAGATCAATGTCAAAATTCCAAAAAATAAGAAACATGGAGGGAAGAGTTCTCAAGTCTTCTACTTTCTAGTTTATTTGGTTTTTTTATGTATAGATAGATATATGAATATAATACAAGCAAGAAAGAAAGACCATGAGCTTTCCCTTCATATAAAAACTATGTAGCAGCAAGAAGTCAAGCTGTGGTATGTGCATTCAAAAGTAGCAAATTTATTCTACTATTGAGGACAAAAGTAGCAAAAAGTTAAATTGAAAACCCATCAAGATAATTCAATTAAAAGTGATTTAGGGATTATTCCTTCAAGTTTCTAATTTGAGTCTCATAAAAATGACCTAATTGATCTACGTGTGTTCATAGGTAATTTTGTGCACTTCAAATTTAAGTTGTAGTCCCTAATCCAATTAGTAAATGATTGAGACGATTTTTACAAGATGGTAAAATTAGTACATAATAGTAGTTCTTTTTTTTTTTTGGTGGGGGGGGGGGGTCAGTTGTTGTGTTGATGTCGTCATGGTTGACAAAAGGGAATAGAGGTCGGCTTCTGAGGAATACAAGTTCAAATTTGATCAAATCAATAGATAAACCATAAGCCGAAGTAATCAATACAGGAGCAAGTTTAAATTTCACAAACAACCTTTTGGATGTCTTATGACACAGGATCAAAAAGCAATCACAAGCAACATCACAAATTAGGCCAACTCATACCAGTTAGGAAATTGGAATAAAAAGATGACAAACACTCGATCTCAGTATGGATTTGATTGACTTTTACCAACAAGAACGAAAAACAAATATTTTGATCTTACCAAGAAAAAAAACAAACATCACAATTGTTGCGACATTCGTCAGAAGACTATGCACAATACTTAATATGGCATCACATGTTCTTGAGAGTAGGCAAAACATATATGAATGAATAACCTGAGCAATGTCATTAAGGGCAACCTATGAGCTTACCAAGAACACCAAGCCTAACAGACATATGTTTGGCAGCTTCCTAGCTAATGACAAAAAACACAAATCAACACACACCATTACACAAATTGATATGATTTTTTTAGCAACAAAAGAGGGATTCAACTGAGTGTGAATATGAAGCCACCCACTAATTTGAATTTCACAAGTGTTATTCATATTATCATGTATTCACTCCTTTTTTCTTTTTTTTTTTTCTTTTTTCTCATTTCATATGGTACTTTTAGCATATAGTTGGCTGGCAAACTAAATTGGCATAGAGAAACAAACATTTTACAAAAGAAAAAATACATAAAAATAAAGGAAAACCCACGTATCAATCCTATCTGAGTTTAAATTTAACAATACATTGTATTCTCTCAACATTTGTCTTTTTTTGATAATCATGTTATTCAGGAAATGAAAAAGAAAGAAAATATGTTAACTTTTACAAAACTCTAAAATAGTTTTGAGATTGTTGACAAAATTGATTGAGGAATTGCCTGAGATTGGTGACATGGTCAAATCTTGTATGGTCGTAGATGTAGTCTCAATCGTTGTTATGGTCCTTGCATCCCAAGGAAATGAGAAAGAGGCAGAGAATAGAAGCACTGCTATGGTTCCTGGTGAGAGAGGAGTGGTCATTGAGGTGATGGGAGGAGGAGGGGGGTAAGGTAAAGGGACGAAAAGTGAGAGGAGAATAGAGAAATAGAGAAAGGGAAGGGCTCGGGACTAGCGGACTTTTTGGTTAGATTAATTTGGGTTCATTACCACTAATTTGGGAATGACCAATACCAGGTTTAATTTGGTAATCACTAATTCTATGTTGTGGTATTAATTATTCTTAAAAAATTATTAAGAATGAGAATAAATTTTCGTTACCACAAATTAAACAATAGAATGAACATTTCTATGTAACGATTATTCTATTCTCAAAGTTTAATCCAAACTACCTTCCTACAGTAATATAGAATCTCTGCAATTTGACCAAACTATGTCCCACCGACACCCTCCAAATTAGAGAAAAGGCTAACAATCACAACCGTTCATTTCGTCCCCACCAACCTCCACCCCGTAATCCAATGAAGATCTCAAAATTCACCAACCCACTTTGATCCTTATGGCCCACTACGATCTCCAATCACAGGAGCCCAAAGTTAGAATTAAAACCACATTAAATGCTACATTCCCTAATTTCATTTTCTCTAAATGGAGAACACAATTAAACCAAATCTAAGTCTATCTCACCACGTGCATTTGGTTAATTTTTCTTACTGTGTATTAATAATCAAAATTAATATCAAAGTAAGTAGTTCAAGTGATAATAAGGATTAACTATAAATTTAAACTCAATGTCTTGAATTTGAATCTTATCAATTTTTGGGATTAGACTATGAACGATTTATTTCTAACGAATATCTCAATTCCAACGTGAATGACTTGTCTTTAACTGAATCGAAAAAAAGATTAGTCGAGGTAAACATAAATTGACTTATAAACCAAAAAAAAAATATAATAAATCTGACTTCCATTCATAACAATAATTTAACATTAAAAAAATAGTAAAATTATAATTGAACTGAGTGAGTGGATTCATTATGTCGCATAGGTACATGGAAGAATTCTACAAATCTTCGATAATAACCTATGAATCCAAAGAAATTCAGGAGTTTAGGTACATTATTGGGTCGGCCCTAATAATTTGTTACAATTCACAAGATAATAGTAATATAGACATAAAAATCATAAAGATAAATAATGAGCCTCAAAAAATTTAATTTAGTCTTTACTAATTTCTTATGTCTCCTCGTCTCTCCAAACACTAGCCCTAAATCAGAGAATAACATTCTCAAATTATACTAGTCAACAGCTGAGCTTGAGAAAGTAATTCACACATATCTAAACACATGTAACCAAAACAAAAAAAAAAATCCACATTCATTTATTTCCATTGTGTAGTGACATGATTTTACCAGTTTGATCTTTTTTTTTTTTTTTCTGGAGGTGAGAGATTGTGATAAGCCAAATGTGAAAGAGATCTGCCGAGCAAGTATCTCCTAAAATCACAACTTTTCTTGAGGCTCTGTTTTCGATGTATATCTCTAAAATTTATTTTGACCAGTGAAATTCAATCCAACCTCAATTCATTCCCTTCCATACATCAAAGATTTGGTTGTAAGTACCCAAAAATATTGTTGTTTTATACATTTTCTTCAAAGAAATATAAATCCACCAACCATTGCCTTGCAGGGTCTCACCCTCTGTTGCGCAGTCTCTCTTTCGCCTACTCACCCACCACCCATCATCACCACCACCACCAACAGCAGATTGAATCTCTACCCTGGTTGTAAATACTTCTGCTAATATAGAATCCTTTCACAATACACATATATAGAAACAAAGTACCCCTCAACAACCCATTGTCACCCACATACTAATTGAGCTCATGGAACAATAAAAAAACATACAGAGTAGCAAGAAGAAAAGCTAAAGCTTTCTCTGTGAAAACCCAGAAAGGTCAAGTACTTCCTCAATATATGTGAATAAATGGAACGAGCGCGGAGGCTTGCGAACCGGGCAATTCTGAAACGCATCGTTTCAGATGCTAAGCAACAGAGAGGGAATGAATTGTTGTCCAGTTCTTCCTCACCCTTATTGTGTTCGACTTCAAGGTATGTTTCTTCATTGTCTCGATACCCATTTCATGGAAAAAATAGTGGTAGATCAGATGTGATAATGGGAAGAAATGGATTATACAATAATGGGTTTGGTGGTATTGGGTCTCAAATTCGATCTATTTCGGTTGAAGCATTGAAACCCAGTGATAGTTTTCCTCGCCGACATAACTCTGCAACCCCTGAAGAACAAACTAAAATGGCTAAGTTTTGTGGGTACTCGAGTCTTGATTCACTCATTGATGCCACTGTGCCTAAATCAATTCGAATTGAATCAATGAAGTTGCCAAAGTTTGATGGGGGTTTGAAAGAATCACAAATGATTGAGCATATGACAAGGTTGGCTTCTATGAACAAGGTTTACAAGTCATTTATTGGGATGGGTTATTATAACACGTTTGTTCCACCTGTTATTTTGAGGAACATCATGGAAAATCCTGGTTGGTACACTCAGTACACTCCTTACCAGGCTGAGATTGCGCAGGGACGTCTCGAGTCTCTGCTTAATTATCAGACCGTAATTACAGATCTTACTGGTTTACCCATGTCGAACGCCTCATTACTTGATGAAGGAACTGCTGCTGCTGAGGCAATGGCGATGTGTAGTCATATTCAGAAGGGGAAGAAAAAAACTTTTATTATTGCCGGTAACTGTCACCCTCAAACAATTGATGTTTGTAAGACTAGAGCTGATGGTTTTGATATTAATGTAATCACGGCTGATCTCAAGGACTTTGATTACAAATCGGGTGATGTTTGTGGGGTACTAGTTCAATATCCAGGCACTGAGGGTGAAGTTTTGGATTATAGCGAGTTTGTTAAAAATGCACATGCAAACGGGGTTAAGGTTGTTATGGCAACTGATTTGCTAGCGTTGACGATGTTGAAGCCCCCTGGTGAATTTGGGGCAGATATTGTTGTTGGGTCGGCCCAGAGGTTTGGAGTTCCAATGGGGTATGGAGGTCCTCATGCAGCATTCCTGGCCACATCCCAAGAGTACAAGAGGATGATGCCTGGAAGAATTATTGGTGTTAGTGTTGATTCTTCAGGAAAGCCTGCTTTACGTATGGCTATGCAGACAAGAGAGCAACATATCCGTAGGGACAAGGCTACCAGCAATATCTGCACTGCCCAGGTATGATATTTTTCTACATACGTTTATTTCATTTTCTATCCATTAATTACATAATAATTGGCTGTGTGAGAAATCCTTGTATGTTTGCATGCATAGTAATATATCAAGATTAAAAAAAAATAGTCTGAAATGTCGAAATCTCAGACATGGCTCCTTGGTACACTGAGGGAAAATTTTAGTTTTATGAATATCTTGTCTAATATGCAGGCACTGCTTGCCAACATGGCTGCTATGTATGCCATCTACCATGGCCCTGAAGGCCTTAAAACAATTTCCCAACGTGTCCATGGTCTTGCTGGGACATTTGCAGTTGGAATTAAGAAGCTTGGAACAGTAGAAGTGCAAGGGCTTCCTTTCTTTGACACTGTGAAGATTAAATGTGCCGATTCACTGGCAATAGCTGAAGCTGCTTATAAGAATGAGATGAATCTGCGGATTGTGGACAAAAGCACTGTAAGAGTGATTTCCAAGTCTTTACATTAATTTGGATTCACGGCCTATGTGATATTGATTAAGTTAACTGACCTTCTGTTGTCTTCCAGATTACAGTTTCTTTTGATGAAACAACCACCTTAGAGGATGTGGATAAGCTATTTAAAGTTTTTTCATGTGGCAAGCCTGTAAGTATCGGTTTATTACTAATCTCATGCTATCAACATTAGCAACTATTCAGTTTTTCTAACAACCATCAATGTAAATTCTCAGGTGACATTCACTGCAGCTGCTCTTGCATCAGAGGTTCACAGTGTGATCCCTTCTGGGCTTGTAAGGCAGAGTCCATATCTAACACACCAAATCTTCAACTCGTAGGTTTTTCCACTAACTACAATTTTAATTACTTTTTACTGGAAAAATCTGACTTTCTTTGCCTATTTATATTTTCAATTTTAAGGTACCATACGGAGCATGAGTTGCTCAGATATATACATAAGCTGCAATCGAAAGATCTCTCGTTATGCCACAGCATGATTCCCCTTGGATCTTGTACAATGAAGTTGAACGCAACCACAGAGATGCTGCCAGTGACATGGCCAGGCTTTACAGATATTCACCCTTTTGCTCCCACTGAACAGGCTGGGGGTTATCAGGTATTTAGAATGTTTCCTCCCTATGATGTGTTTCACTATCTCATTTATGGACTACTTGAGACTGTATTTTAATGTAATACAATATATTCCTTTTCAGGAAATGTTCAAAGATTTGGGCGAGCTGTTGTGTACCATCACTGGATTTGATTCCTTCTCTTTGCAACCCAATGCTGGTGCTGCTGGCGAGTATGCTGGTCTGATGGTTATCCGTGCATATCATCTGGTATCATGATGTCACCCCTCGAACAAACTTTGTGTCCAACATTACGATAGAATTATAAAATTATCACCACATTCTATGTGATGCTTCCTTCTTGAAGCTCACCTCATTGAGAAGCTTAAAGGTTGCAATCAAAAGTTTCTGAGGCTAATGTTTTTAGATGATCATATATCGTAAGTGTCACAGTGTGCATGAGTGAGTCACTTCTAACGGTTTTATTTTAATTTGAACTTGACATGGACCCCATTCTTTTGAATAGAGGATAAAGTTTGTTTCATTTTTTTTGGCCTAAAATTTTGTTACATTATTGTGGGGGATTCTTAACCTTTTTTGGGAATGTAAATTCTCATTCCATCCTACCAGTAGGCATGTGATCTGGGATTGATAATTTTTTCATCAATGAGTGATTGGGTTGTATCCCTGAGTTCTGGAATATTAGCATTTCTCCACCTGCATTTTGCACATCATCTGTCTAGAAGTTCTCAGATATTACCATACATTGCCCTCTCTCTGTGAAATTGCTCTAGACTTATTTTCCTACTGATAATGCTGATCTACCTGTCAACTTATTTTCAGTCAAGGGGAGACCATCACCGCAATGTCTGCATCATACCTGTCTCTGCACATGGAACAAATCCTGCTAGTGCTGCTATGTGTGGGATGAAAATTGTTGTTGTTGGTTCTGATGCCAAGGGAAATATTAACATTGAAGAGTTACGGAAGGCTGCTGAAACAAATAAGGACAATTTATCTGCTCTTATGGTATGAATCATTAAAATTATGGATAAGCATTTGTACAGTTATTGCAGTTATCAAGTAACCTTTGATTTTAATTTAAATTCTAGGTTACGTATCCTTCAACTCATGGAGTCTATGAAGAAGGTATTGATGAGATATGTAAGATAATTCATGACAACGGTGGTCAGGTTTACATGGATGGAGCCAACATGAATGCACAGGTATAACATGCCTTGGATTGTCATATCCAGAACTGAAGTGAAATATAATTTTGTGGTTGACTGTACACTTTTTGTGTCTACTGTATTTTATCCTCTAATTCGTATGAGTTTTTTTTTGCGTTTCATTATAATCAATGAATAAATCTTCTCTCCTTAATCCTTATAGGTTGGTCTGACAAGCCCAGGATTTATTGGTGCTGATGTTTGCCACCTGAATCTCCACAAAACATTCTGCATTCCTCATGGTGGTGGTGGCCCTGGCATGGGTCCCATTGGTGTGAAGAAGCACCTGGCCCCATTTCTGCCATCACATCCTGTGGTATGCACTCACTTACAGCCATTGTTTCTGCATTAGTATATAAAATCAGTATTCGCTCTCCTGGGACAGGAATACAGCTATTCTTGTATGGCATTCTTTCTTTTGGACTTAAACTGCATTTGACACTGGATTCATTTCATTTGTGTTTTTGGATTTTAGATATGTATGTAGCAACCATGCATACATACTTTCTACATTTTATTTTCAACTCCCTATTCAATTACTTTGTAGGAATTCTGGGAGATGATTTGCTTTTCTTCTGACAATGGAATTTCGTTCTTAATTTTTGAAGATGGTCTCGTCTGTTTTACATCTCCCAAGAGTTTTTGTCTGGGAATCTTTTTGTCCTTGTATTTTCCTCGTCTATATTCCATCTATTGATTGGTATTCTTATTTGCTCGTATTCCCAACCACCTATAAACCCCCTTCCAAACAAAAGGCTATTAGAAAAAGGACCAATGTTGTGAAACGCTGCCATAGATTCTGTCGAGTGTTTATAACTTTTTTACTCTCGTTTACTCTGTTTCAAGAAATATATGCTACTTTTACATCTTTATGGTCCACATTCTAATTTATTTGTCATCTTAAACTGAAGGTATCCACTGGAGGTATACCTGCCCCTGACAAGATTCAGCCACTTGGCACCATTTCTGCTGCACCTTGGGGCTCTGCGCTTATTTTGCCAATATCATATACATACATCGCCATGATGGGGTCTAAGGGGCTTACGGATGCATCAAGGATTGCAATATTGAATGCAAACTACATGGCTAAACGTTTGGAGGTCTCTACATTTTCCATTTGACAATTATTTGCATTTATCCTTTGATGTACAATTTTGGGCCAAGAACAACAGATTGGCACTGTGCAGCGTCATGACCCTTTGTACGCCATTGAAGAGTAGGCTGCGTAGCAGTTTCTTGTCTTCTTTGCAATTTTTCGGCATCATACTTGTCAAAGCTCTCTCACATACTTGATTTTCTACCTCAATCAGGCCCTTGACCTGAGCTGCTTACTTATGTTTGGCTAGCTTATTGGCTACCAAATTTGAGTCTCCACATTCTACAGATATGTTTACGTTAGTTTTTTTAACTATTTTGTTTTGGATTAACAGGAACATTATCCCATACTTTTCCGTGGTGTCAATGGAACAGTCGCCCATGAATTCATTGTTGATTTAAGGGGCTTTAAGGTAATCCTGATGGAACATATTTATTAATTTTATCTGTTCCCCGTCCCATAGCCCAATTTTTTGAAGATTAGATTATTTTCTCATGGCAAGCTACTATGGTGATAGAATACCGCTGGTGTAGAACCTGAAGATGTCGCGAAACGTCTTATGGATTATGGATTTCATGGACCAACAATGTCATGGCCAGTTCCAGGGACGCTCATGATTGAACCAACTGAAAGTGAAAGCAAGGTATGCTATACAAAGGAGTCTTATACATACTTATATTCTCATTTTTTGTTTTTCATTCATAAAAAATGCTTCATTTTTTGCAGGCAGAGTTAGACAGGTTTTGCGATGCTCTGATCTCTATAAGAGAAGAAATTGCTCAGATTGAGAAAGGAAAAGCTGATATTAACAACAATGTTCTGAAGGTAAACAGGAATGTTGCTCCATTGGGGCTTAGTGTTCTGCCTAAGTATTAGAATTTACAATTGAATTCATAAGGTGGTTGTACTTGCATACATATAGATGCACCTCAACAGTTGCAACTGTAATTTATTTATGGACAATCTGGAGTAATCAACTGAGAATTGTAATTGCAGGGAGCTCCTCATCCACCTTCACTGCTTATGGCTGATGCATGGACAAAACCCTACTCTCGGGAATATGCTGCCTTCCCTGCCTCTTGGCTTCGATCTGCCAAGTTCTGGCCAACCACAGGTGTGTATATCTGTCTTTTATTCCACTTACTTTCATTTTTAGACCTATTACAGTGTCGCGCAAAACTACTTTTTGTTGGCATTTCAATTCCTTCTCGTCTCTTTTGCTTTGTTTAGTACACAAGTTCCATGCATTTGGAGTAACACTGAACCCTGAAGTGAGAAATTTTGCAAGATGCTACAGATTAAGACAGAATAATATGGAATTTTCTCATTACCATGATGTCCACGCATGTAGTCCAGTTTTAACTTTGGTTTTTTTCTCTTTACAAGTTATTATTTTCTGATATATTATTTTTTTTATGTATATATTGTTACCTTGGCTTCCAACTTTCTTTTCAGAAAGTTTGCACTTTGTTCTGAAATGTTGGCTCCTTATAATGTAAATTTCTGGGTTTTTTACATCAGGTCGTGTTGACAATGTTTATGGCGATCGCAACCTCGTCTGCACCCTTCTGCCAGCAGCACAGGTTGTCGAAGAAGCTGCTGCAGCCACAGCTTAAGCTTTAGCACTGCACGTGGCAAGGTTCCGTCAAGAACATAACACCATCTCTTCTTCATCCTCTTGTTGTACATAAAATTTCCATATCCGTGTACTTCTTTACAGCTGCTGACTCGTTTTCATAATACGTTGATGATCAGCTGTTTTAATTTCAGTTTTCAATTATTAAAATTATCAATGTTTCATCTTTCTGCATTTTTATTGATAGCAATCATAACTTGAAGAGGAGTGGGTGAGATTCAAACCCATGACCTTTAGGTCCAATGGCGGGGTGTTGGCCAATAAGCCAACCACTGAATCCTCCACAAGTTATGTTGACATGCCACATCAGTGGTACAGTAAAAAATGTAAGAAATTTGTATGTTTTTGTAGTATTACTCTTGGAAAGAAATATACTTTCTACTACTGCAATTCCATTTTTTTTCTTTCAAAAACTGACTACTGTAATTCAAAAACTAGCAACTTTGGCAAGCATAATGATCATACCTAAAAAGAAAAAAGAAAAAAATAATAATAAAAAAAAAGGACTCTAATTATCAGAAAGGCAAAAACATCACAGGATGGAAACTGGTTCAAGTGAAGCATTCAACACAGACCAAGCTGGGAGATTAGACTGCTTAGAATTACTGCACAGGAAGGTCCAAGAACCGAGTTTCTTGGATCGTGGCGATGAAAGCCTCAGCTTCTGGTCAATGTCAGGCTTGGGTACCATACACCCTATGTAATCATCACTGGCAGAATATGATCTCCTCATGCTCACAGCTCACAGGTCTATCCCAAGCCTCATCACTATAAGAACAACAGTCCTTGAATATGGAGAAGAAGAATAAGGAAGATGACTTCTTCTTCATTGTTTTAACCCCCATAACTCTCTTCTCTTTCTTATTGTTGGAACATAAATATAAAAAGAAACAAATGGATGTACACAATATATAGCTTACAATTGTATGATCTTTGCTGTAATATATATAACAGTAAAAAAACCCGCAAATTTCTTGACAATTTCAATAAAAACAAACGGTTGAAATTATGAGAAAACAAAATCATTTGGAGTAGTTCATTGCACTTACCCTCGAACAGTGTAGAGTAGAGCAAGTGCCATTAATGAGAAATTTGCAAGAAATTCTACTCAATTATAGTGGTTTATGTGAAAGAACAACAGTAAAATAAGTGCAATTCAGCAGCTTTTCTATTGCTAATATTATGATTCTTTTTCTTTACAACAATGTTATGTTAACAGAAAGCGCAGATGCTAACATTACTGATAATCTAAAAAGGAGTTGATGAAGTCTCCCACTATTGTTCAATCAACTTTTTGAAAATTATGTATAGGTACACTGTTTATTAAAGGTGGTTGTCTGTCTGGACTGATATAAACCAACTACAACAAAATCAAATGAAAATATTCTGTCTAAGATTCTAAGGACATTTATTGATAATTAAGCCTATGATTCAAAGATTTGTAGAGCATAAGGATCAAGATTGCCCCCTTCACTTTTAAAAGCAGAAATTGATCTCGGCTAAACGATTTGACAAATACAATCCAAAAATACATTAAATGGTTATCGATACATCAAGTAACCACGACTTGAACGAATTTAAATTTGTCTATGAAGATGTGTATTAAAGATTTCATTGAATATGGGACACCACTTACAAAGATGTGTATTAAATTTGTCTGAAAGATTTCATTAAAGATATGTATAAATACATTGTATATTAGAGACTTTTCGAAGTACATTTGAGTTGATAACTAAGCCTATGATTCAAAGATTTCTCAACTTTGGTGTGGATTAAGAATGACTACTCCCCTTTAAAAGCAAAAACTTATCTCAACCCTCGTGGTTACGCCTATAGAGAGTTACGTTACTACCTATTTTAACAAAAGGGTTCTTTGGAAGTCGGTACACCTAATTAGACTTATTTGACAAAAAGTACATAGAACAAAATGTGAGTTACAAAAACATAAATGCTTATTTTAGAGTCATTTAATTCAAAATCTTTTATCTTTAATGCACCTTGATTCATGTGTGTTTGTTAATACATATAAATACGTATTTAATGCATCTTAATTTATGTGTATTTATTAATACATGTAAATATGCATATATATATATATATATACTTGTTAAATATTTTATCTAAATTTTGAATTATCTTCAATGCACCTTAATTCATGCGTATTTTTTTTTAGGAAAGTGATTTTGTTTTCAAATTATATTTAATTCACCTTAATTCAAGCATTTTTTTTGAGAAAATGATTTTATTTTCAAATTAATTTAATATCCGAATAATATAATAGTGTAACAATAACAGTGTAACAATGCAACAAATACACTGTAACAAAAATAATGTTCAGTAATTTTGTGTATGTGATAACAAATTCAAAAATAGTGTTCAATAGTAAAACTGACAAAACAAACGTTTGGGTGAACACAGGCGAAGGGAGGCAGGGGCAGGGTGGGCATGTGCCCCTCCACCTAAATTTTTTTTTTTTATTAATTAGATATATGTATTATATATTTATACATATATATTATGTGTGCCCCTCATTTATATTAGGCTTACATTATTTACCCAAAATAATTAAAAAATTAAGCCAATTTAAAACAAAAAAAATTGAACTCACTATTATTTATCTAAACTTATTAAAAAATCAAATATTTGACCTATCACAATTTACTCAAACCTATTAAAAAAATAAAACTTTTAGCCCAACAATAAAAACAAAATTTTTGGCCCAACATTAAAAACAAAACTTTTAGCCCATCATCATTAAAAAACAAAAATTTTGGCCCACTTAACTAAAACCTATCTTATCTTTTTTTTTTCTCTCTGTATCACTCACTCCCAGCTTCCCATTGCCTACCCACTTGACTAAAACCTATCTTTTTGTTAAAAATTTGTTTCGATTAAATAAAAATTGAATTTACTATTTCACAATAATTAAGTGTTGATTTTTTTTTTTTATTCTTGAACTGAATTTTTTTGTATTAATTTCGGCTAAATATTTTTTATACCAGTTATATTTTGCCTCTATCATAGATATTTATGGTTCCGCTCCTGACAATATATATTTTTTTGAGAAATTTTTTATGTTAAATGAACTTCATATATCAAATATAATATAATAAATATAAATATGTAATATAGTGTGATTGGTTAGAAAGAAAAAAATTATAGTGCATAATTAAAGTGCTCATCCTAAACAAAATTTTTGACTTTGCCCCTGGTTGAACCCGTATCAAACATTAGACATAGAATTTCGGGCCGTGGCCCATGCCCCGCCAAAATGTAACTTGCGTGCTCATTGTTTTCTAGTTTGTTTAGGTGACATTCGGTAGGTGAGAGGGGTTGGATTGGTATGGTTGACGCTGAACATGTACCATATTTGGCACCATATACAGAAGAATGTCATAAACTAGAAGTAATGTAACGAAGATTTAAAAAAATAGCATGAAAAAGAAGATTGGTAAGTCCGATACCAAAATAAATTTCGAAAAATATCGAAGTTCTTAACTTCAAATATTATCTTCAGATCAATTATCGGAATTTGTCCCTCAATTACCATATACATGTGCAATAAAGAGTATTCTGTATGTATCTATTTGCATTAACCAGATATTGTAAAAGACTGGAATATCGCATAATTGTTTTACTTTTTTAAAAAAAAAAATCCAAGGGGATTAAAAAGAGGAAAAATATACCTAAGGCCCTAGGTTATCAATTTTTTGTGTTTCTTTTTCTCTTTCTTCAAGTCTTATACATTTTTTTTACTGGTTGAAAAAATAGTGGGATAAATGAGAGCGTCTAGAGATCATCTTGATACTCTGATCACGTCTATTACTCATCTCAAAAACGAATTCAACTAAGTCAGCATAACTATCGACCATTAAACTTCAACGTGATTTCCAGAATTCAAAACTGAAGTCTTGTACATGATTTGTTATTATTGCTTGCTAGACCAAAGTCTCCAAACTCTCTTGCCTCCAAGTTGACTTGCAGAAACAAAATGATGCCAAATTCAGTGTTCTTGTGGATTTTGGTAATAGTGTAAAATCACTCAAGACTTGCAGAAACAAATGGTGCCAAATGCAGTGTTCCTGTGGACTTTGGTAATCAAGTAAAATCATTCGAATGTTTCATTTTTTTTTCTACATGTTAAAGTGTTTGAATCAATTTACACGTATTTTAATTAATCTCTTCTCTAATTTAATCAAAAACAAGTCATTAATAACATAATCAAAAATTTTATTCAGAGTAAACACCTTAACTATAAACTTAAATTTTTGTCATCCTCTTGATAAAAGTAACATAACACGTTTATATTTATTATATTATATTTAATACTAAAATTTTATTAGATACAAAATGATTCAACATCGATATACATTGCACATATAAATAAAAATAATAATGAAAAGAGGTTAATTGCAAATATTTATAACTGATTTCGATGAGTTTTATACTTTAAAGATGTTGTATGATAATTTCATTATCCATTCTATAAAAAATATCTTTCTCTATATAAATAATTAAATCACTCTTTTGATTATGTAACTTAATATTCACATTTTTTATAACTTAAAAAAAATAAATTCGACATATCAAAAACTTGTCTAGACATATTCGTAAAGTATAAAATAGGTTCAAAAATTTATAGTTAATCAAGTATTTGTCTATACTATAGAACAATAAATTGATAGATTGGACACAAAATTTATAAGATGGGCACCATGAAATATACCAAAAAAAATGAAAAATATATAGGTAATAATTTTTAAAAAAAATTTCAAGTGGGCCCATGCCCCTTGACCCACTAGTGGCTCCGCTACTGCTAACCATTTACATCGGGACTAGGGTATTCATAAGGGACAAAAATTTCTCATAGGATAGCCTAAAGGAGTTGCCAAAATTCGAACTAAAATCTCCTCCAATATATTGGTTTCAAATCTCTTTTCTATATTTCTCTTCTAACTAGATTACATAACATGAATTTAAGTGAGACTTATTGTATATAAATTGATCCATCACTCATTAATGGTAAATAATTTGGAAAGAAAGAAAATAAAATAAAAAATATCAGAAGAGATTTGATTTGAATCTGATATAGTGCATTAAAATTCATTCCAATACATTTTCTCTTTATTTTTTTTTCTTGGTGCATCAAGTGAATTTAACTTGGACCCGTTACATATAAACAAGTCCCTCGCTCATTCACAGTGACTTATTTGACCAAAAAGAAATAAAATAAAGGCAATAAAAGTATTTGAGAGATGATATTGAGATCTGTAAAGTTTTGTGCACTTCAAAAAAACTTGACTAATTCCAATAAATTCCCTTACCTATGAGACCCAAACATGGATTGCACGACATTTATTATAATATTAGGATTTAATGTGTAATTTGTGCTGTAACTTATGGGAGTTAAATTAGAGATATCAAAATTACGAGAGTTAGGTGCTATTTTAAATAAATAACACTAGGGGTTCAATTATTGAATTTACAGAGTTTTGGGTGTGAATTAATGAGTGTGGAAAACTTGATGTGTATGTGATTAAATGGAACAAAAGGGGTCTAAGTGTATTTAGGGAAAGATTTGGCCGTCAATTCCCTCACTCTTGCCTTCTCTCGTATATAGAACCAGTTCTTCACTTACGAATTTTGTGTTGGAAAACCTTCTGAAGCTTTACTTCTTTACACGAGATTTCTTGGAGCCAAACTTCCCCACTTTGTTTTGATTTCTCTTCATCACTTTGAGTTTAAGAACTTCCATACAAGAATCAATCTTCAATTCGTAAGGGTTTTTAAGTAAGTATTTTTTTTCATCTTTGTTATGTAAAACCATGAGAAAGGTTTGGATATAATTGTTGTAAATCTCGGTGGTGTCGATTTCGGCACAAGAACAATAGCTACGAAGGGTCTTTTGGTTGGAATTTTTCATATGGTTATATGATTTTGTATTGTTGTGGAAGTGTTGTGTATGGAAGAATTGGGTGTAGGAAGAATTTGAAGAGGCTTAGGGAGGAGAAAACCTAGAGATGAACCGTTACAAGTGGATTCTGGGAAGGGATGAACCGATACAATCTATACAATGACCTTTAAGATGTCTACTTTAAGATGATATTGGTTTCACCACGTAAAATTTAAATGTACATAGAGAGTTTTAACTAGGAGCTTGTGGGTCGACTCACCTAACCATTAAATTTGAACGTGAAAATTAATGTACTTGTTTGTATAATTTAAACTAAAGGTTTTGATTCACATTATATCCCTTAGAAAAGAGATTGGATTAATATTAAGTCAAACATGGTTACACATTTATGTATGAGTACACATAGAATAAGCATATACGAATAATACTCACGTGTCTTATGACGATGTGTGTTCGGTGCGGAGGCGACAACGCCGATTACGTCTAAAATATCACAGGGCGATTAATTGTGGGTTTAGAGTTAAACCTAAGGTGAGTATATTGATTAGAAATGTGATTGCCTAACTAATAGTTATACTTATGTTTATTAGTTGGAATCTGGTGCGGTAACTTACTAATTTGTGGAATTTGTGATTGACTACGAGCTCAAGTGATATTTATGGTGGTTATGTGTTTTTTTTATATTATTGATTGTTGAGACTGCGGGGCATAAACGACAATGATGTGATTGCTGATAATGCTAATAATTGAGCTGAATTATTTGGATTTGACTCAGATTCAACTCAAATAAGACTTGATTCGAGCTTAAGGCTCAACTCGAATTCAGCTTGTTTTTGGACTTAGCTCATTTCTTAAAATGAGCTGAGTTTGAACAATTTTTTAGAATTCTTTTAAAAAAATGAGTTTAACAGGAGCGCTTCGATTATCAGCCCTAATTAATGAGACTTCCAGCAAAAATTGGTAGTCGTTAATTCTCGTCAAGATTTTCAGACGTTGTTGAATAGTCGAATATTATTTTTCACATTTAATATGTAGGATTTTTTTTAACAGTTTTGTGATATATGTTTTTTATTTTTATATGTCTCAAGTATACTCACTAACCCTATGACCTACTCACCCCCAACAGTTATTTGTTTTCAAGTGTTGATTTAGAAGATGGTCCATTGTAGAGTCTAACTTGACTTCTGAGGGAATTGTTGTGTGCTGTACGACATGTCATGAGTCATGGTGTATGTGGCTGGTTAGGAAGTTTTGTAGATATGGTGTTTAAATGATGAGACTTTTTTGTTATGTATATATGTAATTATCTGGTCTTCTTTAGCTTAGATTAATCGATGTTAATCCATTGTGTAAGTGTTAGATGTATGGATTATAGGTTAGATCTTAACCCTTTTCTAGATAATTGGGATGTGACATTACCTCTGCCAAAAATATTTTTTTTAATATTTTGTAGTATACTTTACTTGATATCATATGACAATCATAAGATTTTAAAAAGATCAATGCGCCTAAGTCAAATTACCACCTCTAAAAAGGCCTAAATTTTCAAAAAATAGACGAAAATTTATCCATTAACTTAATATTCCTACAACAATCGATGTTAAATTTATGTTCATTATTTTTTTATGAACACATGAGATAATACATACAAACTTTATAATACAAGAGCCCAAGAAAACTAAGAACTATTGATCCAAAATATAAAAAAATAATATAAAAAAAATACTATAATTTCTAGAGTGACAAACATATTTTTTTGAGTGATAGATCAAAAACTTTGGGGTAAATCTCATAAATGCTGCTCGAACTATTACTTTATTCTAGATAGAACTGTTAATCAAACCGAGCTACTCGATTTTGGCTTGAATTCGGCTCGTTCAAACTCGGCTCGTTTTTTAAACGAGCCAAAACTTGAACAAATTTTTAGGCTCGTTTAGAAAACAAACCCTACAAGTTCGGCTCAAACTTGACAACCTCGACTTGTTTATGTGCAAATATTCGGGCTCGGCTCGGACTCGACTCGGGTTCGACTTATTCAGGCTTGACTCGTTTCTTAAATGAGCCGAACTTCAACAATTTTTAAAGCTCGATTAAGAAACAAATTTTTCAAGTTCGACTCGAGTCCGTTCGACTAACAACCCTAGTTTTAGATTGTCTCCTTAATTTTTAATTGCCCCAATTTATCCCTTCAACATTGTAATTTTTTTCAATCAATCTTTTCTATTAAAATTAATTAATAAATAAAATAAGTTTTGTTAAGATTGATTGTTAAGCGAGACAAATTCTGCTAAAATTAATCATTATCTTATTTAATGTTTAATTTTAATAAAAGGAATTCATGATAATAAATTGCATAATTTAAAAGACAAATTAAAATAATTAAAAATTCGATAGATAATTTAAAAGAAAGACTATAGTTCATGGAACATTTCCAAGATTTACCCAAGAAATGGATAGCGTCTTCCATTTATTTTTGCACTACGCGTATACAAAATTACAATATATATATATATATATATATAGAGAGAGAGAGAGAGAGAGGGAGTTTATTGGAGGGAAGCGAGAGCGGTTAATTTAATTCCAGTGGTGGTAGCTTGACGAAGAAGGTGTGCAGATTAAGAGAGAGAGAGAGAATCTACCTTTGTGCCTGCCTAGTGGGGGGCGTAGGTTAATCCATCCCCAATTCCCAGTCTTCTTTCTGTATTCTCTCTCTTCGATGCGACTCATCCATGTCGAAAATGAAACACTTACTCCGGAAGCTTCACATCGGTGGTGGACACTTCGCCGATCATCACCCCCACCCACCTGTGAATATCAGTCCTCCACCGCCTCCTCAAGTGGCGCCGTCTGATTTGGCAAGTTCACCGACGGACGTGTCGGCGACCTCTACTTCTTCGTCCGCATTGACGAGATCAAATACGGCGGTTGAGTCGGCGGAGAATTTGAATTCCGATTCCTTGGATTTCAATTTCTTTGAAGAGGAATTTCAGGTTCAGCTTGCGTTGGCGATCAGTGTTTCGGATCCAGATGCGACTGAAGATCCCGACACGGCGCAGATCCAGAAGGCCAAGCAGATAAGCTTGGGTTTGGGATTGGGTTGCTCGCGGCCTTCTGAAACCCTCGTTGAGTGTCTCTCTCTTCGGTATTGGGTAAGCGGATATGTTAGCGTCTTTATCATTCAATTTCTCCTTTCAAGTTTTGGCTGCATCGACTGATGAATTAGGTTAAATTTGTTCAACTTTGCTAATTTTGGATCTCAATTGTTTGTGATTTTTGAGATTAATGATTTGCATTTTAAATCTAATTATATATACGCACACGGGATAGTACTAGGTTGAATGGGTTGACTTGATGATCGATTCCAGATCTCATTCTCTTGGATGATGGATATGGATTATTTGCTTTTCAGGTCAAAGTCAATTCACAAATCACGTTAATTAAGTTCGACATAAATTGTTGCTTTTTGTTTAGTTACACACACTTAAGTTGGGATGAATTCGCTGTGCACAAAAAGTTTGTATTATTAACTACTATGCAATCCTGGAAGTAGAAAATGCTCCAACTATTGGCTCGACAGAAAAAAAAAGACAAAGAAAATGCTCTCTCTCTCTCTCTCTCTCTCTTGCACAAAATAGACTGAATGGAAGTGTTTTACTTCTAGTAGTTGTTTCCCATGAAAATGTCTTGGATTTCAACTAACTGGGGAAAGTAATATTTTTTGTATTTGCAGAATTATAATGTTATAAATTATGACGAGAGAGTGATGGATGGGTTTTATGATGTATATGGAATCAATTCAACTCTGCTGGGGCAAGGCAAAATGCCTTTACTGGTGGATCTCGATGCAATTTCTGTTTCAGATAATGTAGATTATGAAGTTATTATAGTGAACCGTGGGGCTGACTCGGAACTGCGACAGCTTGAGGAAAAGGTGTATATCATGTCAATGGAGTGTCAAGGTTTTTATGATGGCTCAATTATGAGTGGTTTGATCCAGAAAATTGCTGACCTTATTGTTGGTAGAATGGGTGGTCCGGTTAGTGATGCTGAGGAAATGTTGAGAAGATGGACTGCCAGGAGTTATGAATTGCGGAATTCTTTAAACACTATAATCCTTCCCCTTGGCTGTCTTGATGTTGGACTTTCACGCCACAGGGCCTTGCTCTTTAAGGTTCTTCGAGTCTACCTCTCTTTATGTTGTAACCTAAACTCAAATTGATTCATGTATAGAGTATCTGCATTCTAGTTCTATTTTAGTTTTTTTTATTGAGATAATTATTTTTGTATTGTAGTTAGGACTTTAATCTGGGATTGTATCTCAATTCATGTGAAGGGCTCACCTCATTTTTGTGGGCAATATCATACACTAACATCATGATAGAGTTAAATTATTCTATGTCTCATATGCTATGCTAGATTGTTTGCAATATCATCTCTTATCCATTTCCAAGGTAATCATTGAATGATTGTAAATTAATCCAAGATGGAGAGAAGCCTTTAGAAGGTCATTTCTGCATTCATTGCCTCAACAGTGCCCCATATATAACTACTGATATTGATTGTTTCATGCAATAGAAGAGGACATATTGTCAACCTTGTTTGAAGTCTTGAAGGTTCGTAGAGAATGTGCCAGTGAAACTAGTACTTAAATTGACATATCAGATAACCCTAGAGTGCAAGTTTGTTGTTCAATTTGTTGAACCACTTATTTAGTGAGAATTTTAAGACACTATTAACCAACTTCACATTTCTAACACGTTTACCCTTTTGATTCATATGGTGGTCTTGTATGAAATACGGATATTTTGTCAAGATTGACATATCTGTGTCGGATATGATATTTGTTGGATATTCGATGATATGTATCAGATACACATCGTATGTATCCGATAATTAAGAAAATATGTGGATATTTCATTGATACTTCTACACATGGAGCAAGATGTACAATTTTTAATTTTAATCTATACTCTCTCATTTAAAGTTCACATACAATACAATATACATCAACAAAATTCCATTTGAAGACACAAGTATTTTTTAAGAATGTCAAAAAAGTATAGAGAAATAAATTAGTTACACTATAATCTTATAAACAAATTGACTTGTTACATGTTGATTCTGATTCTTTTAATTAGTCACGTTCACTTTATAGATCTATCATAATGAGACAATATTACACATTTTTCAAAAAAAAAATTGCTAATTTTGCTTACAATTGTTAAATAAATATTAAAAATTGTAGTTTTTATTTAGTTAAATAATTGTAAAATATAAATATATTTTATTATAGGCGTATCTTAGCCATACCCGTATTCTATTTTTTCAAGTTTTGTTATGTCGCTGTATCGTATCGTATCCGTATTCGTGCTTTCTAGGTGATCTCTTTCTCAAGCATTTGAAATTATATACTTTGGATGCCAGGTTCTTGCTGATAGGATCAACCTTCCGTGTATGCTGGTCAAAGGGAGCTACTATACTGGCACTGATGAGGGAGCTGTGAACTTTATTAAGGTTGATAATGGAAGGTAGTGATATCATGTTTTATTGATCAACTTACATGCATTTGCAAATCTGTTAAGGTTACATTTTTTCTTTGGTCATTTGAACGTTACATCCCTTATATAGAGTTTTTTAGTTGCTTATCTTGTGCAGTGTTGATGCGAAAATTCCTTTTGAAATATTTATTTTCCCATTAGTTCGTCAGTTTCACATTTGAGAAGATATTTCAGCTATAGCATGCACCAGGGATCTATATCCTTAAGGTTGTTGATGGTTGCTTTACTCAGCTGTAACTCTTCATATTTCTTTTCTTTTTTCCATTTTTCTTTACGCTGGATTTTTTCTTTCTTTTTTCCGGTGCCCCGGGGGGGTGGGGGGAAGGAGTTTGTGATTGAATGGGCACCAAGCTTGGAGTTTATACATTCCTTCTGATGCTTAACAAGATCTTCTAGAACTATGATCCAGAAGTGCAATTTGGCAATGTTATGAATTTGATTCTCCAATTGACCGTCACCCCTTTATGCATGTTTGTTATCTTCTTGATTTGTTCACTTTTTTTGTGGTATCACCCTCGTAGGTTTGGCGTTGCACATCACTTTACTGCCCCATACTTTAATTTCTGGATAAGGACTTCACAAACTTTTCTGCATATGTAGGTGCAATTTTTATACAGCATTCAAATACAATTTCCAAATTGCGATCATTTCTTCCGTGGAGACTTTTGAGTCTTTCTTTTAATGATTAAACGTATATTCAAGTTATAAACATAAAATCTCCTTTCATTGTATATTCTCTGTTGTTCATTTTCTTCTCACAGCTTTTCTTCTTTATAATTGTCAACAGGTCTTTCCATCATGTAGTAATAATGAGTAATGTTAATGTTAAAGAAGTACGATATGCTGTTATCACTTTTTTATTTTCCTTCCTTCCACTGTTTTTAATGTCCTAGTAGAAAGGACAATAGCATCCTTAAAAGTCTGTGAGGAGCCAATGTGTGGTTATGTAGCTGATTTTTGGATTAATGCAGTGAGTTCATTATTGATTTAATGGGTGCTCCGGGCACACTAATTCCTGCTGAAGTATCCAGCAGTCATCGGAAAAATTCTGGGTTAGATCTGCGGAGCTTTTCATCCATTGCCGACTTTGTAGAAAATCCTTGTTCAGTGCTTGAAGAAGGATATGGAACAAGGGCAGTTTCACCTAAACTTGACAGAGTTGCCAAAGTTGGGAATTCAAATTTAACAGAAGCATCTTCTCTTAGCATTCAGTCAAAACGGGGTGACAAGAATGTTGTGGAGAAAAATCAAATTGAGAGGTTTGAGCATGAGTTTGGGAAGCTTCATCCACCACTAGGCAGATCGCATGAAGGCTCATCAGGTGCTCACGAGAAAGCATCAGCTGCACAAAAGATGCAAGTTAAAGATGTTTCTGAATGTGTCATTAGCGCAGCCAAAAACCCAGAATTTGCTCAAAAACTTCATGCTGTTTTGTTAGAAAATGGTGCATCACTGCCTCCTGATTTGTTGTCAAACATAAATCTTTGTAATCTGGGAGAAGAAGAATTGCTTGAAAATATTCGGCAATCAAATTTGAGAATGGTGGCTGGTGAGGCTCAATGTTCTTCGGATATGCTCTTGTCAAACAATGAGCAATCTATTATACCCTTCAGTGGAGGGCATTGGTTTTCAGCAAAACAGCAGGAACTGAAGTCCACTATCATGAATCGTGGACAGGCTGTACCTTCTGATACTGCAAATGAGGAATTTGTGCTTATCAGTAGCGGACATAAAGAAATGAGCCAGGCTGATGATGCAGCTTTGTGTAATGGTTTTGCTGATCCATCTCGACTGGTTTCAAGAGCTTCAGATGGGGAACATACTTATGAATTTTCTATGTTTCTGGCTGCGAAACCTTTTGAAGGACAACCTAAAAGTGCTCTTCATTGTGATGAGAAAAATGAAAACAAGTTAGGAATGGTTTTAGATACTGGAAAAGACAAAGGGGCTGTAGCAAAAGTTGATGTTTGCACAACACAGAATGGCAGTATTAACCCAGTGCTGGGTGAGGCTGCTGAATGGGAAATTTTATGGGAAGATCTTCAGATTGGAGAACGAATTGGAATAGGTAAGATTTTATTCTCCTATCTCATTGAATTATGAAATCTCTTTCTTCCTGGAACCACACAATTTGTTATTATGCATAAATATGGACCAAATAGTCATTTGATAATAAGGTTTATATTGTCATTATGACTTAGAATGTTGAATTGAAATCATCTGCGGAGTATATACTAGAATCATGGCTTTGAATTAGGAAGCACAGATTCAGGTACAAGATATGGGGTATGAATACGGATACAACGGTAATGTAAAATCCTAAAAAGTAGGATACAGATATGGTTATGGTACATCTATAACATGCTATATAATTTGTTGATAAAAATGTGAGAATATCACAAACTAAAATAATATGTTGCTAAGAGGCTAACATAGGGAACCATAGAATGGTGTGTTCATCTCAGTGTTTTATGAAATCCAAAATCTAAACATGTGTCATCGTTCAAGATTCCTCAACTTTGACTCAACATCTAACTGAAGCCAAGCCCATTGATTTTGACTTTAGTCATAGAAACTAGTGATTTAATTCAAACAAGTTGTAAACCATTCTCTGAATTTTAGCCCAACTTCACTTTCCCTAAGGCACATGAAACCATTCATATTTTTAATTGAATCTCCATGGAAGGTATGTGTGGGGCCTCCAATTAGCTAATCTTTTTAAATCTATAATGAGCAAATCCAACAACAAATATATTATTAATTGTTTGATACGGACATAAAGTATCTGATTTGTATCCTCAATCCTCAAGTATCTAATGAGTATTAGTATTCGATATGTTTTGGATATGGATACTTTACCCCAAACGAAGAATTTGTGCTTCTTAGGTTTTGAATGTTAAGTGAATGTATGAGAGATTCATGTTTCCTTTACATTATTCGACAAAAATAAATAAATAAATAAATAAAGAATTTTCTGTTTGGAGTGTTATCTATACTTGAGTATCAAGTGGTTGTTCATTCATAGTCTTATGCAATTTCAAATCCTATCGTTTCAGGTTCATTTGGTGAGGTTTATCGTGGAGAATGGAATGGCACTGTAAGTTATATCATAGATACATGAATCAATATAATCTGACCCTTTATCATGGCACTTATTAAAAAATCATATTGTTTTTCCCCTTCAAAATGCTTTGATAAAATGCAATGTTGGTAGCAAATGAGTGAGTGGAGATGATGTTATAAGACACTTTCTTTATTGAAGTTGATTTGTTTGCAGAATGTTGTTTGTATGATGTTCAATGCATTATTACATTGCCTTTGATGTATACCACAAGTTGATTGAAACAGATGGATTTCTTGAGTAACTTTATAACCTGAACATAAACTGATTTGTCTTGTAAGTTGTAACACACTCGCTCGGGCTGTGTGGGTCACTTGTATTAGTTCTTAGGAAACTGTCCCTGTCTAGGTCTAGAATGTACTGCCATTCGTTAAAAGTTGCATCCATGCATTCTTTAAATAAATTTCTATGATGAAATCTTTAGTTCAAACTTACATCTAATTGGCTTATAATATGAAATTATTACACTTGTTACTTGTTAAAGCATTCAACCCAAAACCAATTGACAATGGTTGTAATGGTCCCTCAAATATATAAAACCAACTTGGGTCTAAATTTTTCGATGTGAGGTAGCTCTCTTCACAACCTTCCTCATGTGTGACTCAAACTCACATGCAAGTTACCAAATCGAACTCAAACAGGTAGACAAACCGACTGAAGCCGAATTGAAACAAACAAATAAACAGACTGGAGAATTCAACTGAGTGAGTGACTTAGCCCATTAACCCAAACTCAATTGGTAGTGAGTGGATTGACACCTCAAGTATACAAACCAACCTAGGGTTTACTTAATTTTTTGATGTGGGACATCTTTCTTCACATTCCTATACATTATGACAAAATAAATGTTGCTATAGTTGGTCGTGACTATATGTGATGTGTTTGAAATTCATTATGACCCTAATGATCCACTAGAGGTGTTCAAATTTCCGATTGGTCACAATTTTCTACCCTACCCGATCTTACCCAATCCTACTGAACGGCTAGCCGCAAAAATCAGGTAGGAATGCGGAAGAGTTTTTAGTCGTCCGATTAAATCGGGTAGGAATGCGGAATACCCATCAATTTCAGCATTTCTACCCAACTATACCCGCAAAAAATGTATTTAACTTTTTTATATTTTTATAATAATTGTAAGAGTATTTGTGTGGTATAATTTATATTATAACATTGTTATTGTTGTGGATGTTTGAGTTGCGAAAATATAGACTTGTTTTTTTTTTTAGGTTACATGATTTGTGATGAACTAGTGAACTATTTGAGCAGTTATGATTTTAATGTGTTTTATATGGTTTAAACTTAAAATAATTGTTTGTATTTGTGTAACAATTATGATGGAGTGATGTTCATACTTTCTTATATTTTATTGTAATTGTTGTTGTAGTTGTTTTAGGTTTTAGTGTTATTGATTTATTGTGTTGTTAAATTGGTGCATGTTATTTATTTGAATTGTTAAAATGTTCTAAAAATTAATAGCTACAAAAGTATTTACCCGACTTCCTAACCGATTATTCGGGTAGGAAGTTGTGTAGGAATACCACACTTGATCGGGTAGGGTAGGTCAAGAAAAAATTCTTCCGCAAAGAATTAGAACGGAAGACAGAAGACAATATTTCCTGCCCGTAGGGTAGGGTGAACACCCCTATGATCCACTCATTATTACTGCACAGTACTTTTTTTGTTAACATTAATGTTATTAAAATAGTATTGCATGACAGGAAGTCGCTGTGAAGAAGTTCATGAACCAAGATCTATCGGGTGATGCACTGTTGCAGTTTAAATGCGAAGTGCGTGCCAGATTCTTTACTTTGCATTATGTACTGTCATGAATGATCTAATTAGTATTCTTCAAAAGAATTCCGCTCAATGCCTGCTGGTTGCTTTGTGCAGATTGAAATCATGTTAAGATTGAGACATCCTAATGTTGTTCTTTTCATGGGAGCGGTTACTCGTCCTCCAAACCTCTCCATTTTGACCGAATTCCTACCGAGGTTTATATCTTTTCCAGATCTAATAGTTTCACCAAATAATATTTTTTTCATTTTCGACAATTGATAAATATAGCTTCTATTCATTAAATGTGCACTGATGTTTGCAGTTTTGTCGTAGTTCAAAATGTGTGCCTATAGCCATCCTCATTGCCACATTTACTTAAAGTTAGCCTTTTCTAGACTTGCAGGCACTTTCCTTACCTTTCTTTGTAGTAGCTCCCTAGCTTGTTCTTTAGGGCCATAATGCTCTTCTTCTTGGGTCCTTGTAGAATTTGTTTTTCTTTGGTTGTCATTGGATTAACACATTGATGGTATGTTGTATATATATATACATCAATGAGTCATGTTGCTGTGCTCACATTTTTGCACATTGCCGTGCATGGCCAATAGAAAATTCACTTATATTTATAATAGGACTATAAGAAAAGTGTAAGGAGCATGGCTCCTTCGACCATCTGAAAGATCTCTCTGCTTGTACATGCGAATGATATAGTTAGAGAAGATTTTATCACTGATTATTTGTGGTGCTTTACAAATCCATTTATTTATGTGCAGGGGGAGTTTATATAAGCTGCTCCATCGTCCAAATGTTCAAATTGATGAAAAGAGGCGAATGCGAATGGCTCTTGATGTGGTATAAGTTGGTGGTGTTTCTCTTTTGTTTCCATTATCAGAATCAGTTCTGTTTTTTGTAAATTATGCTAAGTGCTTGCAGGCAAAAGGAATGAATTACTTGCACACGAGCCATCCTATCATTGTTCATCGTGATCTGAAGACTCCAAAATCTCCTTGTTGATAAGAACTGGATTGTTAAGGTTTGGCAAATTAATTTTTTTGCATTAAATCTCTTGCCCTTTGTCCTTGGTAATCCATAATGTTGTGCATTTTTGTTTACATATGAAATGCGTAATTAAGCATGTTTTTCACCGAGCTCTTTACTGATTGCAGCATTGGGGACAGCATGATTTTGTTAGCTTGGCAATGTTTGTATATCTTTGCAGGTTTGTGATTTTGGTATGTTTCGCTCATGAACACCACACGTTTCTGTCTTCAAAGTCTACTGCTGGAAGGTAACTAGCATTCTAAAATATAGAATTTTATTTAGTTTTGTTCC